ATAAATGATACAATTAGTACTACGAATAAAACTTAAGCAGAATTTAAGGCATCAAAAAATAATCGACTATTTTTTATACATTGACCCACATTACAACCATGAATAATGATAGTCCTACTTTCATGACTAATCAAAGTTGGATTAACAACTCTAAAGTTATGGGTCATTTGTCTTGCCTTTATCTCTCTGTATAGGGGGCTGCATGATAACAATCAATAATACCATTTAGTAATATACCCTAATATAAAATAATTAATATTGACTTTAGATATTTAAATTAATTGATAAGCTAACCCCATATAGGCAACAATATCAAAAGCTGATATCTAATACAAGGTACAAAATGCCTCAATTTTTAGCCCTCCAATGTAAAACAAATGGATAATCAAATTATCCATACTCTTCTTCAACGGTAATAATGTTTTCTCTAAATAAATGATTAAGTACATAATTAGATAACGCATTAATGGCAGACTCTGTAGAAGTCGTCGTCTAAGTCTGAACATCTTGTTACAATATATTATGAAATATAAGTATTAAAATCATTTCAAAAAATATAAAATACAAATAAATATTGAATAAATAAACAAAATGAAAATAATGATTATTACCGGAGTTTGGGTTTGCTACCAAACTTGATTTGTGAAAGCATTTCCTATTAGATGTTAATAACAAACTGCCTTCAAGGCATATTAGGCTGTAATGCTGCCAACATCACCTTCAAAGCTGTGAGTTATTACTATTGATCATTCAGGCATTACTCTTATTCATCAAGTCTTTACTATTGTTATTGAATGATTACTTCATATTCTGTATTTTTCATTAGAGGGGGTTTGGGTTGATTATTAAAGAACTATGATGACAACATAAATCTATCAAGCCCCTAAACTCGACCATGTCTTTTTTTAGATCCTAATGATAAAGACAACGGGTCTTTGTCATAATCAGTTGGCAATTTATCGGATTCATATATTGTAGCAAATTCATCCTGAAACATAAAAATATGGTATGTAACAAACCATATATAATATATCGTCATGCATACAAGCACAAACATATCATACATGATAAATTTACGAATTATACTTACAATCTTTTTTCCATCCTTGTGTGTATGTCTTTTTTCCACACATTCCATATAGAAACTTCAGTTTCAAAGCTAGATGATTCTTGAAAAATTAAGGCAATATAAGAAACAAAATCTATGTTCACATGTTCATAAATATTTATATAAGAGTATAAAATAAGCATGTGAATACTTACAAGATCATACAGGGCATCTACATAACCCTTTCTTGATGTTCGATATGATATACTTGTTTGGCCAAATGTTCTTTTATTGTTCTTTAATTTTTTGGAAAAAAAAAAAGAAATAAGGTAACTCACATATTAAGTTATCGAATATATTAAACAAAATATTATAAACAATTAACAAATTGGGTCTGCATATCAAAAATTCATCTAACAAATGATCTCAAACAAACAACAATCACTTTTCATAATTGATAACATCTGCATATAACGATGGAGGGTTCATCAACAATTCAAAATTATCAACAAATGGTAAAATATATTGGGTTATCAATTTACTTTTAAAGTCTCTATATGTTTTCCCAATAGATTGCAACACAAGCTTTTTATATTTAGTTGAGACGTCAAACCGTTCCTAATAAATTTAAAATAATTAGTATCAATACCTTAATTCAATTCAAAATCCAAATTAACAAAAATTTAGATATTGTTGAATAAACATTCCATAACTGACTCTCATATACTATCTTTTTTATCATTAAGAACCATCCGCCAATTATGGTTGTAATAGAAATACTATACCGAACAATTGCTCCAATGTGGCTAGCCACTTTTTACACCTTCATCCAACACAGGTTGGCCACGTTGATTGATTTTGATTTGATTTTTCATCTCAGTCGCTTTAATTTGTTTATCACATCCCCTTGAATTTTTTTTTTTTATATTATGAGTGTATCTTCTTTATGTTCAGAAAAAAGAGATATATGTTTAGACAATTCCATATTACCTGTAATTTTGATCAAAATTATACGGAATACATTAAACTATCTCTCTATATAACATATTAAAAACAACCAATATCCATTATAATATACATAACACATAACAGAACCAATAATATTATACAGGTACAAGCCATACTGTGTTTCATCATATCATAAGAGTTCTATGCAAAACAAATGAGTACAAATATAATAACTATTTTTCACAAAACCATTCAACAAACCACTATACTAAAATCAAATAACAAAAAAAAAAAAACATGCATGCAATGAAGAGAGGTTATGCGATATAGGTGATAGTGGTAAATGCTCATAAAAATAAAAATATATTTAGTAAGAAAGAAAAAATGACATATATAAAAGAATATAAATAGTACAAAAAAGAAAAAATACACACATATCGGTAAAAACGAGGTGCGACAAAATGAGTGGTTGACAGTCGATTGCGATAAGAGAGATGAAGAAACCAAAATGCAAAGTAAATGTGTTTATGGGTTTAGGGAAATATACTCATTATAGCTTTCTATCGTTCAATTGTATTAGCCATTTGGTTTTTCAAGGTTCAAGAACAGGGAATGAATATTTTAAAATGATTAATTAAAGCATTTGTGAACACAAACACCTTAATTGATCAGTTTTAAAAATAATCTTTAGGTCAATTAAGGCGTTTATGAACAGAAACGCCTTAATTGATCCAATTTATATATTATAAAAAATGATCATTTAAGGTATTTTTGTACACAAATGCCTTAATTGATCAGTTATAAGTAATTAAAAGGATCAACTAAGGCATTTATGTACAAAAATACCTTATATGATTGATCAATTAAGGCATTACAAAAAATAAAATGATAATTTAAGGCATTTATGAACCGAAATGCCTTATTAATTGATCAATTATAAAAAAATAAAATGATCAATTAAGGTATTTGTGTATAAAAATGCCTTAAATGATTGATAAGTTAAAACGTTATAAAAAAGGATCATTTAAGGCATTTTTATACATAAACACTTTAATTGATCAGTTATTAAAAAAAAATAAAAGGATTAATTGTGGTGTTTGTGTACAAAAATGCCTTAAATGATTGATCAATTAAAGTGTTATAAAAAAAAAGATCATTTAAGGTGTTTGTGTACAGAAACACCTTAAATGCTTTATTAATTAAGACAAACCAAACACCTTAAATGATTTATTGTAAAATTTATAAAAAGATCAATTAAGGCATTTGGTTACACAAACGCCTTAATTAATCCTTTTTAGAAATGTTTTATAATATATAAAATTTTTATATATTATAAAAAGATCAATTAAGGCGTTTGTGTAACCAAACACTATTTTGCAAATTTTACAAAGGATCAATTAAGGCGTTTGGCACTTAAACGCCTTAATTGATCTTTTTTATAAATTAAAAATAAGATCAATTAAGGTGTGCAAAGTGCCAAACGCCTTAATTAATCATTTTTCTAACATATTTCCCTATCAATTAAGGTGTTAATGTTTTGAAACTCCTTAATTAATGATATTTTATAAATAAAAACAACAATCAATTAAAATATTTGTTTTCTTTTGCTGTTAAAGAAATCATTTGTCATTTTGGGTATTTATTATTAATAAAACAAAATGAAAGTTACCATTATATATGGCAAAAAAATTATGATAATTATACAAGAATTAATATATGTGAATTCACTCATTGTGAATTTCGTCTAACTAAATAAGTGAATCTAAATAACAGATACCTTAAAAATGAAAAAAAAATTTGAGTATTGCACTTTTTTGAGGATATCACTTTATTTTGAAATCCAAGATTCCATGAAGTAAATGCACTCTTAATGTTATATACACCCCTACTTTCATATATACCCCAAATTCAAAACTTATTTTCCTATTTTTATTAAATGTACCCCGCTTCTTACTTTGACTTTTTTTGTTCCTACCTTTTTTTTTTTTTCTTCTCTCTTTACTTCCTAACATCTTGTTTCTCAAATATGAATATTTAAGAAGTTTTAAAACTTTTTAGAAATTGAAGCTTTAAAGATTTTCGAATATCTATTTTCGAGAAGTCTTTAGTTTTATTAAAAATGAATATCTGAGAAGAGTTGAGGCTTCTCAAATCTTTATATTTGAGAAGTTCAGAGTTATTGGTTTTCTGGGTAGGACAAATCCACCAATAGGGACATCTAATCTTTTCACCACCAAGCATTGTTTGTTCAATAACATTTTTGTAATTTTGATAGATATACATATGAAAGAAATTGCTAAGTGTGAAGAGACGTTTGTGCAAATTAGCCGTTGCACCATGTGCAATGAAATGTGATTGCTCTATTGCGCATGGTCCAATAGCCACTTACATAAGTGTTTTTCACAATTAGCGATTTCTTTTCAAATACATGTTTGTTAGAATTGGATAAATGTTGCGAACATTATTTATCGGACAATGCTTGATCGAAAGATTAGAGATTTCTACTACCATATTTATACATCTCATATGTCGAAGTTGATTATATTTTTCAATGGCCTCAATATTAAAGATCTCGATTTTCTTGTTATCAAGAGTTTATAATTAACTATAATTAAAATTTTTTTTAATGTATTATTGAAACCAAATTTTTTAGACTTATATTGTTTTCTTTGAAATCTATTTTCAAGAAAGCAATACAAGTCTTGAAAATAGATTTTCGAGAGATGTGTTTTGTTTTCGATAATCTATTTTTGAAAATTATGATGTTTTTTCGAAAATAGATTTCTAAAAATATAATACAACATTTGAAAATTTATTTTTGAAAAAAATGAGATAGTTTTTGGGTATATATTAAAGGAATTTTTATTATTTTTTAAAAGGTTAAAATTGATATTTAATATGTAAATATTTTTGTAAGAAAAATTTGGTGGTGAATTTAAAAACCCTATCTAAAACAGAATTATTTTTATTTTTATTTTTTACATTTTTATTCACCCTATTTGTTTTTCATATTTCAGAAAATTAGCAACGAGAAAAAAAGGCCCCTTTTGCTCTGCGTGGCCTCCTCACCCTTCTATTATTCTTTTTCTGTGTGTCACTCTTTCGGTTGCTCTCATGCGGGTTCGAGTTTTCCTGCAAGTAAAAGCTAAACGCAGGTTTTCAACTCTCTAATACTTTTACATTTTCTGCTCTAAGTTTTTCTCTTGTTTTTGCGTCGATCTTTTAGGTTCAAGAAAATGAGTTTCTTTCTGCTTCAGGTTTGATTTTGAGTGGTTATTTTCATTCTTTATCATGCTAAATTTAAGTGTAGTTGGTTTCTTTTTTCTGGGTTTTTGTTATTTGATTCAGTTTCTACATATTTTTGTAATTAATTAGCGTAGAAGTTTGAGTAGAGTACTATTTTCTAAAGCTTGCTGGTGGAAATTGGAATTGGAAATTTTAAATCTTGGTCATGGAAAGCTTTGTGGGAGTGGTATATAGTCTATAATTGGTCAATTTTCTTGGTTTAGGTATCGTTTTCATTTTTGAATCCATGAAACGCTTGTTTCGACCCAATCAAAATTTGTCATTCAATAGAAAAAAGGTTCACCTCATGGTTTGTGCTTAATTTTTATATGGAGCAGTTTAAGGTTTGAATATTGCCTAGCTTAAAGAAGGAATAAAGATGTGGTCTTGTCAATTATATTTACTGTGCACTTTCTGTGATGCTCTCATCTTGTTGGAATATCACCACTATTTGTCTAAAACTTGAGTTAAGCATCTGATTCCAAAACCCATCTTTATCTTTCAGTTTCCATTAAAAAAACCTCTTTAGTGTTTTTTATTCTTCTTCTGCCCTTTTCTGGCCCAAACCGAGGGGGTGGGGGGATGGGGAGTTGCCAATAAGGTAGCTCCTGTCAATTGGAATGTGTCAGGTTGTAATAAAAAGGCTGGAGATTTGGATTGAATGAAAGAATATATAAAGAAATATGATGTGCAGGATTTGAGCCTGGATAGAATTTTCATATCTTTTTGAGGTTGCTTATTTTGAATAAGTGGGAGCTTTGGTATGTTTGTTTGTTTGCTGTAATGATTGGGCATTGTGAATGTAAGGCTTTATATTTCATTCATTGGGTGTGTTTAGACTATGTGGAAGTATGTTTCAAAAAAAAGGTCGAAGTGCATGCATGCGTATTTAACAGATTTTTGTGTGCCTGCCTATGCCTTCTTGCTATGTGACATTTCTTCACACTAGCTGATTATAGATTTTCTGCTGGAAATTTGCACTGTTATTTGCCTAGATTCCATATTTACAGTACACGAATTCATCTTCTATATATTGCTTGGCTTAATAGAATTGTTCATATTTCTTTCAGTGAGTCCCAGTTGTCATCTCTTTCAAAAGTGTGTATTTTGCTAGCTCACTCAGCAATCTTTTTGCTGCCCCGCAAATATATGTGTGTGTTTTCTTTTGACTATTGAAATTAAAGTAAAGAGCCATGCAAAAGGAGAATAATACAACTCTCTCATCAGCTGCTAATTCTCGGATTCGGCACCGTAAACGACCATATGAGGTTGGTGACTCATATGTTGATTTGTTCTGTTTTGTTTTGTTCCTTTTTCATGTTTATGGTCATGGTTTCCTGATGTTGTCACATTTGTAAAGGAGAATTCCCTTTGCAAGCAAGGCAATTTTTTATCTTAACTTCTTAAAATTCAAATATGCTATCAGGTTATTCCAGAACCTAGCAAAACAATTGGTGGAAATTTGCTTGTTGATGACCAAAACAAATACAAATCTATGTGGATCCGGACATACTCTACAGTTTGGATGATTGGGGGTTTTGCATTAATAGTCTACATGGGTCATCTCTATGTTACAGCTATGGTGGTGGTTATCCAAATATTTATGGCAAAAGAGCTGTTCAATCTACTAAGGAGAGCACATGAAGATAGGCATCTTCCTGGATTTAGGCTATTAAATTGGTGAGAATACTACCTTTACCTTTATTATGGCAACCAAGATTTTTGTACTGTAGATAGTAGTCTTGAATCTTACTAGAAACTTCTTTCATATCATAAGAATCCATTCATCTTTGTTTTGTGGGCACAGGTACTTCTTCTTCACTGCAATGTTATTTGTGTATGGTCGCCTTCTCAGTCAACCACTCGTCAATACCGTAACCTCAGATAAAATTTTGTATCAGTTTGTCAGCAGCCTTGTCAAGTATCATATGGCTATCTGTTACTTCTCGTACATTGCAGGTTGGTTAAGCGTATGAGTTTATGTTTTTTGACTGAAAGCATGGAGGAATAATTATTTTAAGCATTGATTAGTTGATATCTTAAATTTCAATTTTGACCAAAGTGGGACAAGATGTACTTTATTTCTAAGAATATCTATATTGTTTCCTTACATTCTAGATAGTTTTCTTTTTATATGGTGATTGCACCCTTGAATTTCCCTTTTATATAAAATAATACATATGACCATTAATATCTTTTTTTTTTTGGTTTTTGGGATCAGGTTTTATGTGGTTTATTCTTACATTGAAGAAGAAGATGTACAAGTATCAGTTTGGCCAGTATGCATGGACACATATGATTCTGATTGTGGTGTTCACACAGTCATCCTTTACTGTGGCCAATATCTTTGAAGGAATTTTTTGGTAACTTTTCTTCTTCCTACATGGGTGCACTTACATGCAGATGTGGACATCCATATGTACACGTTCAAAAAGAAAAAAAAGGGCCTATGTTTTGTAACTTTTAATCAACTGAATGTTGTTGGTACTTTAAATGTTCTCTCTTTCTCTCTCTCTCTCTCTCTCCTTATTCTTTTTCTTCTTACTTAACCCAAAGAAGTACTTTTTTCTCAGGTTTCTTCTTCCAGCATCGCTTATTGTTATCAATGACATTTTTGCTTATATCTTTGGTTTCTTCTTTGGAAGAACCCCATTAATCAAATTATCTCCGAAGAAAACATGGGAGGGATTTATTGGAGCGTCTGTTACAACTATCATCTCTGCATTTGTGGTGAGCATAGTTTTTTTTTTTTTCTTTTTTTATTTTATTTTGGAGTTGACTCCATCTTGTTTGTAGTTAGGGTTTCATTTTTCTTCTACTAGTTTTACATCTTTAGATAGGAAATTCACTAGTTACTCATGTCAAATATAATGCTAAAATCCAGGTGACAATATAAATATTCATTTTGAGGTATGCAGTGACTAGCATCCTTCCCAATGGTCATTTGTGAAGGATTAATTAAACATCTTGTTCTCTTAGGCATGAATGTGAAAGTTCATCCTAAACCTGTAATCCAAAGATCAAATGCTAATGCCTTGACCCTCGATTAATGGTGCTGAATAACAAGTATAATTTAAACACTCTTTTTTTTTTTTTTGCATTTTTTCATTGTGCTCCTAGAACGGCAATATGTGAACCTTTAATGGAACTGGGAAAGTTATGTTACTTGTTTTTCCTTTTATGTATAGATTTTCATCCTAGTGTGTGTTCAGTAACATGGAGTGAGTTTTTGCATATGCAGCTTGCAAATATCTTGGGTCGTTTCCAGTGGCTAACCTGTCCAAGGAAGGTAATTATTGTATTCAACCTATTCTTCGATCCTTCATGAAGCATGCCAGTTTCTTTTTCAGAAACTTAGGGTGTGAGGGTAATGATTGCAGGATTTATCAACTGGTTGGCTTCAATGTGACCCAGGTCCATTGTTTAAGGCAGAGTATTATACTTTACCAGGATGGGTTTCTCAATGGGTAAGTTTACATTTAATTGTATCTGAATTATTGCCATAATTATTCTTTCAGTTGGTACGATTTGGTTTTCTTGAAAAGAAAGGATTTTACTTTTTAACTTTCCCATAAAAGTTTGTCATTATGAACTTCTAGTCTAATGGTTCTGAACTCCCTGGTTAAATGGGAAAGACCAGATGTTTGAATTATGACAGACAGTCAACAGAAAACTCATTGTATAATTTGGATTTTTTTTCTTACAAAAAAAATTAACTATCTCCACAGAGTAGATGCTATATTTCTGTTCCTACTAGCTACACATAATAAGCATTTTGAAATTCTTTAGTGTCTTCATCATTGTCAATTAGTTGAATGATTATCACCTCAAATTAAAGTGCTTGGGTCTCTCTAAGTCCTGTGGTAAAATTCCAAGGTCGGGAACTTTAATAGGGATAGGTTTAAAAGTTAGTTGTGTCATTAAAAGGTTGGACATGCTAATTTGTCAATTACAATGCTCCATCACTTGTTATTCTTTTTGCAGTTTCCTCGGAAGGAGATCTCTATTTTGCCAGTTCAATGGCATGCTCTATGCCTTGGTTTGTTTGCATCAATTATAGCACCTTTTGGGGGTTTTTTTGCAAGTGGTTTTAAAAGAGCTTTTAAAATCAAGGTATGAACTCCTCTCCTATTCTAGTTTTAGATTTTTGCGTAGCCTTACCTGAGATACTGACTCAGGTATATTCTCTTAACTCCCACTTTTGATATTGGCCACAGGACTTTGGTGATAGTATTCCTGGGCATGGTGGAATTACAGATAGAATGGATTGCCAGGTGAGAAAATCGAGACCTTCTATCTTAGTTCAACATTCCAACTAAATGTCCTGGCAGTATATTTGAGTTAAAGATATTGATATTTTAGCTCTTACAAACCAAAAAGACAAAAAGGTGAGAAAAAAGAAGTGGAAGGATGGATAACGAACTTGTTTATTAATTTATAGCCTTATGAGGTTCGTTAAGTGGTAAAAGTCCTGAATGGATCAACATTTAGGCTTTGCTTGGAGAGAGGATGGAAAACTTATTCATCTAACGGATAAGCTACAAAATAGAAAGTGATTATAAATTTTAATCATAGGATTAACAAATTTTCTGTTCTTTCTACCAAACAAAGCCTTAACGACAATGTTGCTTCAATGCGTCAATGCGGCTCTGACTTATTGGGTCATTTATGTAGATGGTGATGGCGGTATTTGCATATATCTATCAGCAGTCATTTGTTGTGCGTGAAGGCATCTCAGTTGAAATAATATTGGAGCAGGTATATAGTTAGTGTCACGCTTAGCTGTTCTTGGATCTTAACTTGGGTCCATGACTATAAATGGTTACCATACTTTATATATACGATTGTTTCTTGCCATGCAGATATTGACGAGCCTTACTTTTGAGGAGCAACAAACTCTTCTCATGAAGCTGGAGCAGATCTTGCAGGAAAGACTTGGACATTCTTAAATATGTGGCTTAATTCTGTGCAAGCCACCGACTCGTCCCCTTTACACGGCATGTGTCATACATGGTATAACAGCAAAAGAGAAAAGGAAAATGCTTTGTATATGGTGTTGTTGTATTGTTGTTTTCCTTTCAAATATTTTTAGGCAGAGGTATTCTTTATGTGCTTTCTCTGTATAGTGCATGAATGTTAAGCCAATCAATTATCAATTAATACACACAAACCGTGGATGGTATTTATTCTGGTGCTTCTCAGTTCTCTCTTATCTTTGCAATTTCCTTTTCCGGTTTTGTGTGCTGCAAAGAACGAAGCTGAAAAGAGTGGTGCTTGACCCTCCTTTGGGATTTTCGTTCTACGACTTCGGCATGGCCTGAGTAGTCTCTAGTTCAATCTGTGTCAATTTGACAGGTGCCAATCATCATCTGTTCGCTAATTTCATTGGTTGGCAAGGTTTCAAAGCTACGAGAGACAGAACAGTGAGTCTCAATGAATCTGCTTCCAACTGAAAGTGGGGTAACCATTGCAGGTCTCCAACATAACAAAACTTAACCGAAAACGTAAAAATCTAAATTAAATGACAAATGATGAAATATGATGCAATTTTCTCACATCTCAGTGCAGAAACAGTTATCATCTTATAAATTACCCTCATAGAGGTGTCACAACATAAGCATGCAAGATACATAGCCTCAGGGAATAAACGTAGTAACAAACTACAGCATGCTAAAGAGGAAACTTCAGCTTGATATAGAACCAAATTCAAGAGGCGTAACAGCCACCAAAATTTTAGCACTCAATAAAAGACAAAAAAAAAAAAAAAGAATTTAACTGAACCAAAATTCATAATTTGCCTAACGTCCAGCAGCAAATTTATCTCGGCGTTGCCATTCCAAAAAAAATACAAAAAAAAAAAAAAAAAACTAACTATTAAGACACTTCAAACAAAGTATTTAAAATATGGTACATTTACTTTTACAACGTAAACTTCAGTGAGATCCGGACCAACAACTTCAATAATTAATCATCCATTGGATCCATCCAGATGAACAAAAAATTTAGACTGACGTTTTCATTACTTTTCCTGCCTACCTCCAATTACGGAAAAGAAAAACTGTATTTCAGAGTTCCCTCCTCAATTTATCATTGTGCTTTTGGTTTCTCAATCTTCACATACGGGAGAATGCCCATAAAATAGACAATTTTAGGAGCCCATTCCCTTTGCTGAGCACGACAGAACATTAAAAATGTGTTTGCGAAGTAACAATTGAAACCCATTAAAAGATGCCATAGGGCATGGCCCTGAGGGTTGATTGGCCAACTCACTATCTGTTTGCAGAATACACGATCGCAGAACCAGCATAAACTACCTAGGGAAAGAGTAGCCACATACAACTTTGCAACCCACTTAGCAGAGGCAACTTGGGTGTGAATGTAGTACTTATACATTCGAGGGATACAGAGAAGGCAGAGAACCACATAATGCACCTTGAAGCCAAAGCCAAAACGAATAACAGAATGAACAACAGCAAAAACAGCACCATAGAGGAAAAGGAAAGTGGGCATTGTGCTGCGATAGTGCCAATCTGGTGAGTACAGGATGTACATATAGAGAAGCATCTCCCACACCATAGGAGTTTCATCACTCTGTTGTTGCCTGGAAGTAAACTAGAGTAAATTTCTCCAGATGCAAACCAATCAAACAATTACACTCTATGAAGAAGATACCACTCTAACTTAAGGCAAAAGATACAGATTGATTCATCCTATGTCTAAATAAAACATGCATGTAAAAAAAAAAAAAAATTGTTTTTTTACACCTTCCAGTTCTACATGAGCTCTTTAATCACAGAAAATATTATTAGTCCACAGGTTTATCAATTGATAGACCAAAATTATTGAAATCAAAGCATAAAGAAAAAAAATATTGCATTGGAGCAGCCAACTACCTAATAATAATTACTAACAGAATGCATAGCCAAGATTGACACTTACACACGTTGCAAGGTGGCATGGTATAACATGCTTCCAATGGCAAGTATCATATTAGATATGTGAAGAATGCTGAATCTTTTCTCAAACTTTTGTCTTAACGCATTTACAAGACCAATGAGAGCCAAAAGAATAGCCGGGATATTTGATATGGTATTGTAAAATTCCGCTATATAAGAGGAGTGGGCATAATTCTTCTCGCAACACTCAACAGTAGATGTGACAGGACCCCAAAAGCTTGATATTCCATCTGCCATTATCAGCTATAAATGCATACAACTTGGAATAAACTCAACTGATCTCCGGCCTCAGAAGGTTGCAGAGCTCATAAACCCTTCAAACCATGTCCTGCAAAAAACAAGTTCCAATGTTAAGCATTTAATATCATGATGAAGCATTGCAGAGAGAGATGGAAGCACATTGTAATTACTTTCTTCCAATATCATGGGAAACAATTAAGTGAAACAATGAGCTTCATTTCTGTTTATGTTAGGGAGAAAGTAAAACAACAGAGAAGAAAACCCAAAAAGCAACAGCATAAATATCAATCTATAAAGCATATCAGCTGAACTTGAATTAAATCAGGGATTAATCAAGAAGCTCAATCATGGCATCAGTTTTACCATACCAATACCCAAAGATTTGCATTGTTTAAGCTACCTATAAAGCATTAGCTACCATTCACATCCCAACACTGGAGAATTCCTTAATCCCAAATTCAGTTACATCATGCTATTAACAAAACGCTCAGATTCCAATACGAGGATATATAGATCCCAGATTAGAAATCCCTTTGCCACAAACAAAGCACATCTATCAAATTTTTATCATAGAAAGCAAAACAAACAAGGAGATGAAGTGTTAGGCTGAGTTAGAAATTTATTAAAAAAGGAATAATAGACAGAGAAGGAAAAACAGAACCTTCTTGGCGGAGATAGATCTCATTATTCTCAGCCGGAATTAAATTTATCATGGCTCTTCGTCTTACAGAATAAAAGAAATACAATTTTTTTTAACGAAACCTCGGAATCGTTTTTTCAGAAAGAGAGAGAAAGAGGGATTCTAATTTCCTTTTTATTTTTATTATTATTTTTTATAAAAAGTTTAAAATTTTAATTGTTTTTGGAGAGAAATTTGAGAATGGGCCCAAATCACTTGACGCTTATTGAATTGAGAAAGGCCATAGACTTTGAAACTAGGCTTGAAATGGATTCCAGATAGTGGAGAGCGGGTCGGATCAAGAATGGGCTTATCTCTAACGCAAAGTAATGGGCTCAATGACTTGTTTTCTCACTTGTTGTAATGGATCAATCTTTACGGCGGGAATACTAATATTCTTTTGAAAAACGGCTTCTCGTTGATTAAAATGTTCTTTGCTGCAATAAATGGAAGAGTTCCTCCACTGAGAAGTAGCTTCCATCGTCAATGAACGAAGCTGGAATATCAGCCGGATACATAAACGAATACTCATACTGGTATACAACTCATCAACAGTCAATTCTAAGTAGCTTTGACTTGGTTCATTTGTTTAGTGGACAAGCCAATCCTAGAAAGCATTATACTTTATTGGTAAAAAGATCAAAAATTCTCGGAAAAAATTTAATAATTATTTAATATTTTATTACAACCAATTAAATTTTTAATTGGACTAAAGCTAGATGCGTGATAAAATTAAATTAATTAATTTTTAAATTACAATCTATTGAATCTTTAAAAAATTAAAAAAAAAAGAGAAAGAAATAATTTAAAATTTTTATTTAAATTAATTTATATATATTAATTACGTTACATAAAAACTTTCATATATTTTATTAATATCATATAAAATTTCATCTTAATTAATAAAAAAGTTACGGTATTAAATTTTTGTTTAAATAAAGTCTTAATTAAATATAAAGAAATATTAAAAAATTAATTAATTATAATAAAAATAAATATTTAAATAATTTTTTAATTATAATTAAAAAAATTTTATACTCTGTAGTCTACTTTATTTTAACACCAGATCGAATTAGTAGTTAACAATTTTTCTTTTTTTCATGTATTACCGATGGAATATCGCATTATCCTTCAAGTCTCAATCAAATTATCAACATGGAATATGAATAATGTTTCATCGAAATCAAATTCATTGTACCTAGACATAAATCTAGGTGCAATAAACATGGTCATTTCAAAACTTGTTAATAACCGATTAACCGTTTAATTTAGAGCAAAATTTGGATTCTGGACCATAAAAATCTAACTCAACCTGTTATTTACTTTTAATGTTGTAATCTGACATAATTAGATGTATAAATAATATATTAATATTTATAAATTATTTAAATTTAATTTTAATAAAATTTAAATTCAATTCAATTATTTTTAAATTGAGTTAAATTCAAATAGTTCAATTTATCAATCAAATCAAATTCGAATATTTTTATATTTAATTTTAATAATTCGTGAATTTAATCAAATTTTTATATTTTAATATAATTTTATTATTTTAATTAATAAAATATTTCAAATTAAAATTTAAGTTTAAATACAAATAATCAAATTTTTATTAAACATGAAAATCAAAATTATTTTTATATGTTAATTAAATCTAATCATATGAATTTGAATAATTTAAATTTTATTTTGAATCAAATTAAAATTAAAAAAATTTAATTTAATTAAACTTGAATCAAATTTTAAATTTTAAATTTTAAATTTTAAAATAAATTTAAACTCCGACTTAATATTATATTAACTCACACTCCATCGAATATATTAGATAATATAGTAATAGAATGGTAAACGAAGAATGAGGTGGCAGCGAAACGTACTGTCGCATGAGCACGTACATGGGCTAATCTTAACCAAGGAAACTCACTCAACCGCACGTCCTTATGAAGCCCTGCCAAGTCAAGCTCAACTCAAATTCTTTTATAACAACAGAGTTGCAATATCAGAAATAATTTTCTGCCGCATTCAATTCTTAATTATTACACCATAATTAAAGCAATTTATATTTTATATATTATCAATGTATAAATTTTATATATTATTAATAAATAAAATAATATTATTTTATTAATAAAATAAATCAAATAATTTTATCTCATTAATATATAAATTTTAAAAAATATTAATTTTTATATATCTATTTTAAAATTAATATTTATATATTAATAAAATAATATCATTTAATTTATGAATAATATATAAAATTTATATATTTATAATGTATCAAATATAAATTCTAAATTTATATACAGAAATTGAAAGTGATACGTAAACCTACGTGGCATCTTAACTAGGTTTGATCATTATTAATGCGTTCTGTTTACCATGACATCCTACAGTTAATTGTGTGACCAATTGAATGTGGACTAGTAAGCGGGTGAAGTTCACAGGAAAAACTGAAGAACCAAGCCAACAGTTATCCCGCAACTGAGATTATGTATCCCTATAAATATAATTACGTTGTTAAATTCCCATTAATTTCTCCATCTTTAAGTAATCTGGCGACAAACTCTTTTCCTTTTGGCCTTATTTGTGACACTAGAATGAGCACATAACGACACCATTGTCAAAACTGAAAATTTTCTGTTCTAATGTAAACTTCAGAATCACCTCTACATCCCCTTCAATCGTTCTCCCGCAAAAGGAGAGAAAGTGAAACACAAAAAATAGTGTGGAACAGAGAAAGGGCAGGGGAAGTTATTTGTTTTGTGATGGCGAGAATTCCAGTGAGGTTCAATAGGATAGCGGCGGCTTTCGATGAAGCGGCAAGGGCGCCGCCAGTGCGGCTATGTGAGAGCAGCGGCAGCGACCACTCTCCAGAGGATTTGACTGATCTTTCTGATCTTGTAAATTCTTTTATTGAGAGCAATTGCGGGGTTGAAACTGATGAGGGTAAGATTAACGAGCAAGAGAAAGAAAATGAGAACGATGGATCAGAGGGTTATCGGTCAGATTCTGAGACCAAAGATACCTTAAAGAGTTTGATGGGCAATAATATCTGTGATGGAAACGAAGATGCTGATGTGAAACACAAGATTCTCCTACAGACAGAAATCGCTTGTGGGAGTGTAAAGGACGTGTCTTCTGAGGGTTTTAAACGTCAGTTGATGTCTCGTTTGCGAGACCAGGGCTTTGATGCTGGTAAGTTCCTTTGATTCCAACAACTTTTTATATCTGTCAATTTTCCTTTATTACATTAATTCCTAGTTTTAGGGTCAATAAATTTAGAATTGTAGAGAACCGACTAGGAATTATAGTATAATAATAGTACATGTTTGTTCAGTCCTTTTTTATGGTATATTTTTGCATTAGGAAGTAAATATATTCATTCTAATTGTGAAATAATGGGTTCTTTGCAACCTGCTTAAACAGGATTGTGCAAAACTCGGTGGGAGAAATTTGGGCGGCATCCAGCTGGGAGTTATGAATTTGTAGATGTGAATGTTAATGGCACCCGTTACATTATTGAAGTAAATCTTGCAGAAGAATTTGAAATAGCTCGACCAACAATAAGTTACACTTCATTAATCGATGTTTTCCCACAAATTTTCGTGGGAAAACCAGAAGAACTCAAGCAGATTGTGAGGCTGATGTGCAGAGCAATAAGAGAATCAATGAAAAGCAAGGACATTAATGTGCCTCCTTGGAGGCGAAATGGGTACATGCAGGCCAAGTGGTTTGCTTCTTATAAGCGTACAACCAATGAAATTTCAGCTAAAAAAGCATCAGAGAAAAATGACGCAGTTGCAACCAAAAGATTCGTTGGGTTTGAGACATTGCCGATGGTTACTTACTACTGCAGAGACAATTTTGCCAGTAAGGCTGGTTTGAAAGTTGGTTATTTGACTGCTGCCTTTAATGCGAATGGCAGTATTGGTTTGCTATTGTAGTCATTCCAGGGAATAGCGTTAAATTATACATAAAAAGGCAGCTGTTTTTCCTTGTAAGTACTTGGAGTGATTTTATCTGGTTGGATTTTGGAAACTGGAAAGATCCAATTCTCTAGGCAATTCTATCGGTGTTTTTCTTGGTGGAATCCGCGTAGACATATTGCAGTACTGCATTCGAATGTTGCTACAAAATTTCACCTTTAATTACTGATTGTATCCAGAAATGGATTTCAATTGGAAACTATCTGTAAAGATGAAGATAAGGCATTGTCTGCCGTGCCTGATGCCACCGCAATTCAGAAAGCCTTGCGGTGCCACTCGCTTCATTTTGGAGTTAATATATTTTTATATTAGCAATTGAGTTACAACTATGCTTGAACATGTATTAACCTCTTGGCTTGTTTATGATTTGGTGTAGTATCATAGATGGTTTGCCTTTGTTAGCGCTTTTCCATTTTTTTTTCCTCTTAGGTTCTGCTGGTTTTATTTTTATTATCAAATTCAGAACCAATTAATTTATGGTCTTATATCTGTTATAATTAATGGGAGCGTTGTCCTTTGTCATTACTACGCACACAAACCGTCCTTGGATAGCAGAGTAACTTGAGACTAATTGACGAAGCCAATGACTTACGCTGCTTTCTCCTTTTTGAAGTGGAGGCAGTCAGGCAGAGACAAACATTTTCAACTAAAGCTAAAAACCACAGTTGTAGGCCTTTTCATATGCAGCATTAGTTACAGCTCATTATAAACCGCTGTTCTTCTCATTTTCGTGTTCCATACTCATCGGGGCACATGAAAGAAGAAATTCAAAAAAAAAAAAGAGTTGGACATTAATTTATCAGCTCCAAGTTCAGCAATTCAGTTAGAAGAGGATTGGCCCTTTAACTTCAAATTAGGTCCATGTATCAGTCAACAAACCAAATATCAACGCCCCTGAGGAATTCAAACACAGTGGCCAATGAGATATATAGCAGACTATATATGACCTTAACTTGAACTTCTAGCCATCATCAAATCTAAATTCATCAGTTCCGCTGGAAGAGGTTTGGCCTTTAGCTTCAAATTAGGTCAATATGAGTCAGCAAACCAAATATCAATACACGATGAGAAATTCAAATGATACACACTCTTTGCATTTCTCTTTTGCCTCTCCTGACATGAGATCACAAAACGAATTACATCAATAACATATAAATATGTGGGGAATGAACTACACAAGATAGATCAAACCCTTTCCCATCTTTCTCAATTTGCTAAAGGGTAAAAACACTGTAATTATAATTTGATAATCATTTAAAGTTTTAATATTATAATCAATCAAATTTTTAATTTTTTATTTCAACTCAATTAAATTTTTACCTAAACGAAACTTAATCATTTAACAAAATTTAATCAATTAATTTTTGAATTACAAAGATCTTAAAAAGAAGAGAGAGAAAATAAAAATAATGAAATAAAATTTTAATTATTTAATTTTCATATATTTATATATATATCAATTGCATCATATGATAAAATTTTTATTTATTTTATTAATATCACATAAAATTTGATTTAAATTTAAAAAAATTAATGGTGTTAATTTTTTTATTTAAATAAAATTTTAATTAGATACAAATAAATATTAAAGAGATTAATTAATTTAATAAAAAATAACATTTAAAATAATTTTTTAATTATAATTCATAATGTTTTTATATCCTATAGCCTTTTCTCTAAATTTAAGGTTTAATTATAAGGAATGCCGCATGATCTAAAAAGTGCGATTCCTAAATCCTGAGGTGAAGTGTTGCAGTTTTTTCCGCTTTGCCATTGCAATGATTTGCCGTACTAATAGTATAAACTGTGCTTGATTTTGAGTAAGATTTCGACATCCTCTGCCATAATAGACTAAAATGTCGACATCTTAGATTCTGAACTTTGACTATATTTTTTGCATTGTCTCAATTATTTCTGGGCAGCTGCATGATTAATTAATCAAAATCATTAAGGATCATTTAATTAAAATTATATTTTAAAAATAATTATTTAATAATTTAAGTTTGAGTAGATTTTTTTTTTCACTCAATCAGTAATTTTTAATAAATGTACTGACGTGATCATTGTTATATCGGCTATCAAGCAACATGTGGCATACAACATTATTTTTCATGTTATAAATACTTGATTTCAGTTATTAATATTTTATTTTTTAAAAATATTTTTTAAAATGGTTAAAATTGATAATACTATTTCAGTAAAAATTATTTTATCAAATAATTATATATGAATAACTATTTTACAAAATAATTATTTATAAAATAATTATTTAAAAAATAATTTTTTTTCATAAAAAAGTTTTCTCAGAATAATTTACTCAAGAAATAAGATTAACATTTCTATTAAAAACTATTGTATCAAAAGTTACTTCACTAATAATTATTTTATAAAATATGCTTCATTGATTGTTACTTAATCGAAAGAAGAAATGAAAATAATTTCGAAATATAACAAGATTTTAAGTTAATTTTATTATTATGATGTTTCAAATAATTTGATTAATTATGTAATTTATCCAAATCAGTAATACATTATAGAAGTTTTTACAATTCATATGAGATTTTAAGATTTGTATAGATATTTACAACTTTCTCTCAAACTCTCTTGCAATCCTCACTTCCTAAATACTTCTCTCAACCTTATTTTCTTTTCTATGAGCCTTACTTTGCCACCTACCACCTTTTAGTTTATTCCAATCTTCCTTTTCACCATCTTCTAGCCCATTTATTTTTTAATTGTTTGTAATGTTTCCTCACTTTAACAAAGAATCCATTTACACACATTAACTATCAGATGTCACATGACTTATAGAATTTGACTTATATTTTATTTATAAAAGCAAAGTTCATATGAATTTAATATAAAATTGCAAGTGATACTAAAAGTGAAACCTGATAATAATTGTAGATGTAACGACACTTAGGAAAGTGCCAACCATTCTCATCAGATAGTAATAACACGACATACTTTATTTCTCGTTTAGCCAAATGTTGTTAAGCTAGGATAATTAGTGGGATAAAGGTTTGGTCGGTCGGTTTCACTGCCCCCTAGCTTATCCAAAACTCGTAACACATGGCAAAATCATGCCCACAATTCTTGCCAGCAATGGCAGATCCACTCGCATTGATATCTGACGAAGCATTGGAAATACCTTTTCTGTCCAAAACTCCATCCATTTCTCTGCTATTCGTTGATTTTTCTATTTGCTTTTGAAGCCAATGCAACTTGTTTATACGTTTCATTGAAGCAAAACTCTTCTCATGGTGTCCAAACAAGGCAAATCCAAATATTTTGCTGGACTTCTTGTTTGTTTGGCCCATTTATATGTAGAGTTGTTGGAATTGTTTGCAAACTTGCGAATTGCAACTATTTGGCCCAAAATCTAAGTACCAAAACTGGGCTTTAGAACGTTTTAGAATGACCCAAAGCAAAACAGCCCAAATAAAATTTTGGCAGTGTCTAAAAAAACCATTTTGCGATGGAAATTCTGGTATTTATAAAATTAATTATTATTATTTTTTATTGTTTGAGTTTGAATTTGTCAAAAATTATAAAAATTAAATTATCAGTCGACGTATTTAAATCTGCATACATAAATCACTAAAAAATAATAGGCAGAATTAAAACCTAAAAAACTCCGTACCATTAAATAAAAAAAAAGAATTAAAAAATTTATTAAAATTCAATAATTAAAATTTATAACAATTTCATTCTTTTTAACTTATCCATTAAATTAATATTTCTTTTCATCCGTGCACAGTAGCATTTTTCGATTTCCATCGAAGGAAAGCCTCGGTTCAAAACTTTTTTCAGAAAAATCTTGTCGAAATTGAATATGGGCACCGATCGACGCAAAACTGCAGGGAAGCAAAGCAGATTGCCTGGAAGGTGACCAATTTTACTGTTAGAGAAGGGTCTCTCGAAAAAGCTAAATCCTATGCCATTTCCCTCTTCTCTCCCCTTCTCAACTTTTCTCGTTTAAAACACAACAACGTTACGAAATGGATTAATAAAAAGAAATGTGAGAAGTTCGGTAAGCAGATTTGTCGACGGAGATTGTCACGACAACCGGCCAGTTAACTTCTCAGCCATTTGATTTGATTTAGCTACAGCCGCTTTGGCAAGTCAAGATCAAGGGTACTGCTTAATTCGCACCCTTCCCTTGGTACATGTAGCTTCATTCATCATTTTCTTTCAAACAGAAAAGGTTAAAAAAAACAAAAGGAAAACAAACTGAAGATCATCAGAAGAAAGAAACGGCAACTTAAAGCGAGTGGCGAGTCCCGACGTTTATAAAACCCTAGACGCTTAGTATTGTGTTTATATAGGAAAAATCAAAGGCAAGTGCGGAGGGAAGAGGAAAGATCTCAGCCGCACATCTTTGGGGGTGGAGAATGTGATCAAGTGTGACGCATATCCTTCCTAACAAATATAACTCATCAGGTCATATTTATGGTCCATACATAATTAAAAATTGGATGCTGATGTTGCATTTCAATTAAAAATTTAGTACAAAATTGTAACCAAATATTTTATTGATCATACTCTCACACAATTTGTTCATTTTTTGGTTCTTTCTTAAAGAATAGAATGACACCACATTACTTATATAATTCTTTTATTTATGCAACTGTCAAGAAAATCAACTCGTAGCTGATTGATATTTGAAGGGCAAAACATCAATGAAAAGCGCTATCTACTTTACTCCTTCCTGGGTGCTAGGCCTGCTCTGGCAAGTGCCAACTTTGTCAAAATCACTTGAACCCCATCTATAAACATATACTAATTGTATTTTTGCTTCTCTTAAAAATGAGTATAAGACGAGCTGAACATGTAAGAACTAGATAAATTGATCGGAAGAAGAGAGGGAAAATCATCCCATTTACAATAATAGCAATGCACGAGGCTATAATATTTGAATTATACTTGTTACACTAGCAAAAATACAACAACTTCTGAGCAAAGATACAGGAACTTCCAACCGTCTTGGAGACTGCTAAAGCTGCCATCAGATGTAGACTATTGTAAAACAAGAAGAATCATGTGAGGCACTTCATTAATGCATTACAAGGATTTAAAAAGGGGATTGTTTCTAGTTTTTAGCCGAAGTGGAGCATTCTTTGGAAAAATTGAACCTTTTGAAGGTCTCATAGCACTGTATGCAAGTGCCGATATTAATTCTGTTAGTAAAATTCTTTAGGGTTATCTTTACTTCGAACAAGAGGGACACCATCTTGTCTCCAAACTATCCGGTCTTCACATAAAGCAGCAGTCACCTCCACATATAATTTATGCTCCTATAAGCACAAGACTTCATAAGAAAGTTGCCAAATCCAGAATGGATTTTTTTATTTGCAGTGCAGGAATTGATGATATTCTTATTATCCAAAAGGGTGTGAGCTTGATAATAGTCATAACTTGATTTCATCACCTATTGAGTAATTCTATTCATGACAATTTTAAAGCGAAGTACATGGCAGAAAAAGGTTTTGGCTAGTGACAAATTATCTTTTATTTTCTTGAGAAGAGCTGACATAAAATCACCTCACCTCCCGAAGAACCCTAGCAGCTAGCTCCTCTGCAGTGTCATTTGCAAGCACAGGGACAACTCTTTGAGCAAGTATCCGACCTGTATCATAATGCTCATCGACAAAATGTATCGTTGGACCAGAGTATCTAACAAATCACAAAGAACAAGAAAGCTTTACTACAAGAGGCTGATAAGCTTCACAAAGCAAACAAGAATGTAAAAGGAATACAGTGTGGAGAGGAGAAATAGAACTCGTGATACATGAATGAAACTAAATGCAAAATGTACCTTGCTCCAGAAGCAATAACTGCTTTATGCACTTTCATACCATAATAACCCTTGCCTCCAAAAGCTGGAAGAAGAGATGGATGGATGTTAAAAATTGATCTAGGATAAGCTCGAATCAACTCCACCGGTATAAGTTTCAGATATCCAGCAAGAAGAATGAAATCAACCTCAAATTCCCTGAGTCAGATAAAACATCATACATGTACAAGTGATTAACATTCCCGTAAGCTAAGAAAATTCAAAGAACTTTCTCACAAGTCTTCAGATGCATCTAGAGTTTCCTATGGATTATATTATATAGGTGAACATTCCAATATCATAAGGCGACTAAGTGCAGTGCTATGAAAAATGATATACCATTTACAAATGCCACTAAAGATCAACAAAATAAGCAGTTTTGAAAGAAGAAGACAACCTAAGAACCTTTACAAGGTCATCTGAAGGCAGACAATCGGGTTCATCTTTTGTTTTTGGGAACAAAATAACGGGGATGCCTTTTCCTGCAGCATATTGGGCACCTCCACAAGCTGCAATCAGGAAAAATAATATCTATAATTCCCAAAGTTGCAAGAAAGTTTTTAACCATCTCAATACTCAACATTTAAATTGCAAGTCACCAACATAAGATATATGAATTAGATTCAGGGCTTCTCTAATTATACGAGCATGATTCTATCAAGAGTGGTAACTCAGATTGTAAATTAGATTAACATTAATCAAATCATCTTCTAATTCAAAGTTTTCATTAAACCACTTTATGGTGAATTACAAAAAAGAAATACAAAGTTGTAACTTTCAATAGAAAAAATGGTGAAAATTACCATGTTTATTAGTGACCAAAACAACCACATCTCCATTGACAGGGCCCTCAACGCAAGCTTGGTGAATTGACCTTAAATTCGAGCCTCCACCAGAGACAAAAACCGCTAGCCTTTTTCGTTTAACCCATGTTTTTGAATCTTCCTTCTCAGAAACAACATTGTTTACTTTTGCTACACTGTTTGTACACTCTAACCTGCTTATAGCCCTTAACTTTTGAGAAGCTGGGAAGCATTGGGGTGTAAAAGAGACCCCATTTTTTGATTGAACGAAACAAGAAGGACAAGAATGAAAAGGTGGTGATGAGGATAACGGATTTCTGGGGTTTTTTGATGATGCGATTACTGATTTTGAGCAAAACCTAGAAAACAAGCATTGTGTTTCCATTAAAATCGAAGAGAAACGCTAAAAAAATAAAAAGGTTTCTTGTATTCTCTCTGCACTGTTTTACAAGCAAAAGCACGTTTTACGGTACAACTTGCAATAGGAATTTGTACTGGGCCTGAAGAGATGGACTTGAAATTCCGAAAAGTACCATAAAAGCCCCTGGATCCATACTCAAATTTCTTAGAATATGTTTTTTGGGCCTAAATATAATTTTCAAAGACCTCCAACGTTTATATCTCCTTCATCCTAATTTTTTTTATAACTTATCAAAAATAAAATAATAATAATCCAACATTTTATTAATAAACTTTGGTAAAAGTTCTTATATCATTAAAGCACATTGAAGCACAATATTGCAAAATTGATGGCAACGTCTTGCATTCAAAATACATAAAATTTCCAAATACCTTAATCAGATATTTAGATGTTAACTAATAAAAATGAGTGCGATAGTAATAATTACAAGGGTAACAATAAATATACGAGAAATTGCAAAATACTATTTTAGGATCCATGAGATGTCCTGATTAATTTTACATATGTAATTGTATACACATAACAAAATTATATACATTATTCAAAATTTATTATATATATATATATATATACATACACGTCCATAAATATGTCCAAATGATATGTTATAAGATGTTTGTTTTTTTTTTTAATGTTTTAAATATTTTTGTCATTTGATTAAAACCACATGATCTATACAAATGTTGAAATAGAAAATTGTTTTAAATTGAATGGATGAGAATAACTATTACTTAACTTAAACTAAAGTTTTTATTTTTTTTCTTTTTTATTTCGTGGTAATTTGTTGAGAATCTAATTGATAAGGTGTCCTTCAATCGAAACTTGTCATTATCCCCATTGAGGGGATAATTTTTTTTTTTTTAATTTAGTTGTATGTATTGATTTATTGATTTATCGACTATTATAGTGATGATTATTAATAGTTTATATTTTCATGAACTATATAATTTACATAGAAACAATAAAAGGGAAATTTTAAAAGTGAGAAACTATAAAAAAAAAATCACCTATTTCTTTTCCTTTTTTAATTTTCTTTTTTTTAATTTTTTTTCATGAAAGATCTTCCTTTTAAAAATTGAAAGGGAAAATTTTTTTTTTCTTTTTTTAAGTAAAACTAGAAAAAAGTCTTTAGATGCACTAAAGTAAGCTTGCTTAAGGTGCTAATTGTTTGACATCTCATACAAACTTACTTCAATATATAGTAACATATATTCTAATAAGCGATTAAAATCTATTAAAAATGGATCAAAAGCATCATTTAGTGCAAACATTTAACAAAAAAACTTAAAGGGTAAAAAAAGTTTGAGAATTATAATTAAAAAATTATCTAAGTTATTATTTTTTTATTACAATTAATCAACCCTTTAAATATTTATTTACATCTAATTAAATTTTTATTTGAATGAAAAGTTAACACTGTTAATTCTTTTGCTAACTAAAAGAAAGTTTCAAGTGATATCACTAAAATAAATGAAAGTATGTCACGAATATACTATATAATTAAAACAATCTCCTTAGAAATTATTAATTTACACTTCTAATTATTTGACAATTATTTGACACATTTCCAAAAGTATAATAATATCTTTGCTCCCATAATTAATTAAAATTATTATAATTCTCCTCTTAGCATAATTATAAAAATGTCCCTTCTACAATAACTTGTTAAAATTATTATAATACCCCTTCTACTATAATTATAAACATGTTCCTTATTGAGAAGTTCTAAATATACCACTAATTCTTCACTTTATACCTCCAACATTTTTTCCCAAAAATATCCATATGAAATACCAATTTTATCCTTTAATAAATTATAATTTTACCCTTATTGCATCTTATGTTTAAGGCTTTTGCAATCCATTTTCAAAAGTTTTAAAAGGCTCTTGAAAGTCCATTTTTGATAAATCTTCAAAGCTTTCAAAAATGGATTTTTAAAAACCTTTTTAAACTATCATAAATCTATTTTCGAGAAGCATGATTTTGATGAAAAAACTTTATACTCCATTTACATTTCATTCAATGTTTAAGGTTCTCGAAAATGGTTTTCGAAAGTCTTTTAAAGCTCTCAAAAATCCATTTTCAAGAAGCACGATTTTAACAAAAAAACTTTTGCAAAAAATCCTAACTTTTGCACGATTTCAAGTAAATTAATGAATAAAAATCTCGAAATCTTACCTATAATAAGTGGAATATTAAAAAAAATTTGTGCTTTAAGGTTTAGTTTGATGATTTTAGGGTTAATTTTAAGGTTTAGAGTTTTAGGGTTTCGAATGGAAAGAAAGTAACAAAGGTATGAAAGTAAATGTGATTTTTGTTAGATGGGGTGTTTTTAAAAGAAATAGAGATCTTTATTCTAAAAATAGGGTGTATTTAGTAATAGGGTGTAAAAAAATTTTTTTTTGTGTAAATAGAATTCCCTTTCCTCATATCATAATTGGTCAACTATAATTAAAAGTAATCCCCTTTGAAATTACTATATTGACCATCCAATTATTTGATAATTGTTTAACATGCGTCCAAAAGTATAATAATACCATTGTTCCTATAATTGACTCGATTTACTATAATACCTCTCTTATTATAAAAAAATGGCTATTTACACCGCAATTTTTTTTTAATACACCCCAAAAGTTTTATTATAAACTTTTAATAAAATTACTTGAATATCCATTAGTTAATTATTTTGTCTCTTTCCTAAAAACGTGTTTACTTTCTTGTTTCTTCGCAACTTCTTCATTATCCAATGTTCCTTATTCCTTATTTCTTGTTTCTTGGTCCTTTGTTTTTTTTTTTTCTCTTTCCCATAAACATGCTTGGTGCTTTCTTCTTTTCTTTTTCTCAACAAAAAATTAATTTGTTATCAAAATTTACAACCAAAATTTTTGGAAATCCATTTTAAGAAGCTCTTAAAAGCTTTCGAAAAAGTTTTCGGCAACAAATGTCTAGAAATCTTTAAGAACTTTCGAAAGTGGAACAGATGTCTAAAAGCCTATCAAAACTTTTGGAAATGAATTTTTGGAAACCTTGAATTTTTGAAAGTTTTTAAAAGCTTTTGAACATCAAATTTTGAAAGCCTTTTAAAATATGAAAGTTTTAAATCGCATCCAAATATTTTAGCATGAAATCTTACGAAATTAAATACGAAATCAAACAAAAAAGCAAAAAGAACAAGTTATTTATCTCTGATTTTATGCTTTCTAACTTCAAATTGGTGAAATTTCTTTTGCACGATTTTAACTAAATTAATGAAAAAAAAACTTGAAATCTTACCTGTAACAAGTGAAATATTAAAAAATTTTGTGATTTAGGGGTTAGTTTGATGATTTTAAGGTTAACTTTGAGGTTTAGAATTTTAAGGTTTCGAATGGAGAAGAAAGTGAAAAAGGTATGAAAGTAAATATGATTTTTGTTAAATGGGGTGTATTTAAAAGAAATAGAGATTTTTATTTTAAAAGTGGAGTGTATTTAGCAATAGGGTGTGAAGAGAAATTTTTGGGTGTAAATAGACACTACAAGAAAATGAAATATTAGTGATAGTTTTGTAGCGATGTTTCACTTAAAAAAGTCGATATCTTTCTTGTTTTTATAAAACTTAAGACGTTTTTTTATCAAAACACCACTAAATATTCAAATAGCAGCATTTTGTACTTATAAACACCACTAAAGACAGAAATTAACGGTGTTTATCGACTAAAATGCCTTGAATTATTTGATACTACGAATTACATTTTAAAATTTACATTACGAGCATTGTAGTATTTCAATAAATTGACCACACATCCAAATTTAAAACTGATAATGTTTTCATATAAATGTACTTTTTTCAAATAATCGTACTCAATATATGTGTATTCATATAAGCTGCCAATTGATATAAAACAAATATAAGCTAATAATATTAAACCAATACCCAATCTAGAAACTTAAATTATCCATTCAACATAGCATGTTAAAAACATTATAACAAATTAAATGTATATATTTACACCCAACCAACAATCTCCAACCTTAAGGTTTAGCAAACGATAATACATACTCACATCACTCTTTATGGACTTCATCATGCTTGTCTATTAGGAAGCTTCTTTTACTCTCTCATTAAGAAAAATCAGAAGTAAATATTAATAAACGAGAACATAATTTAGCTTTTTTTTTTTTAATATAATGATTTTATGAAATTAATACTAACCTTGAATGGTGTGGTCATAAAATCATATAATATTATTTCCTTCATAAAAACGAAGGACATAATATCCACATTTAGTATATCCTGGTTGATGAGGTACCTAAAAAATAAGTTTAGTGGGTTTATGAAACATATATCTAAACAAACTCAGCATAAAAGAATAAATTTCACATTTACCGATAATGACACTTAATTTATCTTTGCTCTCTTATCAATTGCAAACATTACCCTAAACTGAAAAGAAAAAATTACTTAATACAAAAATAAAAGTAATTATGAAGAAACAGAAGATAATATAATAACATGTAATACCTTTTTATAAAATTTTTAATATCGGGGTTAGGCATCATCGTTGGTTGAGTGAAATTAAATAAGTATGACGTCAAGGAATTTGTATCAATCACAATAAGCTGCCAATGATGACTGCAAAATAATAAGAATGATATACTTAGATTAGGCATAATCTCAGATTCAGGTAATGTTGAAATAATTATTTGTATAAATATAACTTACGCAGCATTATACGAGAGTAAATAATAATCAGTCCATTTTTTCATGATTGAATTACATGACAAGCATGAAAAATGATTGTACCATTCTGTTCACTAATGTAATTCGGATTAACAAATTTGAATCTATGGGTCATTTGTCTCGCTTTGATCTTTTAATATAGGAAGATGCACGATAACAATCAATAATACTAATTATTAATACATCATAATATAGATTAATACATATTGACTTTACATACGTAAATTTATAAGTTAACCTAATATAAGCAACAATATCAGTAGTTGATATTTCATCCAGATTACAAAATTCTTTAACATCATCTCCACCAATGTAAAAAAGTGATGGTACCCATCATCGGATTCA